TATATATATAATGGCCCAGTGTGTCTCATAAAATGTCTGCCTTGCTCAGTTTCACTTGACAAGTATTCAAAGTGACATATAAAATACAAGTAATGATGAAAATGAAAACTGAGTTTTTTTTTAATCTTTGTTCACTCCCTAAAATAAAACAAAATTACAACTATTCCACTAATAATAAGGTCTGTACGAGGAGAGTGAAAGCCTGTATATGTCACAGTCATAAAGTCCTGCAGACAAACTTACCTAAATAAATGGCTCTGTCAGTAACCATGAAGGTGTTGTGGTTCATTCCGCTCAGACTGCCATCCCTCTGTTGTCTGAGGCTGAAGAACTTCTACACACAATCAAAGACACGGTGGTTGAGAAAGTTGCTGATAAAAGTGGAGCTGAAAATAGTACAGAGTGGTGCTGAAACGTACAGCTTCCAGGGAGCAGTTGGCCTGCTCCATACACAGACTCTTCAGGGACCAGACGAAGTTGAAAATAAGTGGATCCGTTTTTTCCCAGCAGCTTATCAGCAGACGGACTCGCACTTTCCTCAAGATCAGAGCCTCTCTTATGAGGTCGTCGATACGAGACCAGTATCTTGGCACAGACCCGTAGACAAACACGGGCAGAAAGCCAAAAAGACAAAGAGGCGCACACTGCATTTAATCGCTTGAATCAAAGCATTACGTCCAACCTTTTGATGATAAATGCATGTTGGAGTGTACTTTGGCAGAGGGGCTCTAACCTCCACGCGCCGCTCAGCGCTTTGCTCTTCACCAGGGGCAGGTAATCGATGACGGAAATGTATATGAAATGGCGGGCCTGCTGGATGACCCCGGAAATGGCTTCTAGATCACTGCTACGGTCTTTAGGGTTCAAAACATCTGGTGAGCTCTGTCAACAGAGGAGGAGGAATGTTAGGAAGTGTTTGTACCGCAGAACAAACGATTCAAGGGCTGATCATGTTCTGCTCTCTGAAGAGACATAAATGAGATTACAGCACTGCATAAACAGCTTATTACCACAGAGACCCAGGGAGATATTTTATAATAAGTAGAATTACCAGTGTGTTCATTAACAACAAGAATATGATGCCAACAAGCTCAATTCCCATGTTCATTCGTTGTAATTCTTTGGAATTTTATGCTATGAAAGGGTGAGGTTATTTGGGCATTTCAAAGGGATCCACGATTAGTTGTAACATTAGACTTTATTTAATAAACATTTATTTTAACTGTAAAATAAAGACTGTAAAAATACTGTAGGATGTTCAGTTTTTATCATTTTTAAACAAACAGTTTAAAAAATATTACACGGACGGGGCCATTTTATTTACACACAAAGCATTCTGGGTAAATGATGACGTGGATAGGTCCTCAGTGTGAGGCTGCTAGTGAGCTATATCCACATGACAGAGAGGGGAACGCAAAAATGACTCAGCTTGCAACTGAAAATATGGATGGAGGACCTCAGTTTAGCCTGTTTGTTGCGCTAGTACCGAGCTAATACCAATAAGGCAATATAGCGTCAGCGCTAACACTAAAGCTAACAGGCTAAGCTGAGGTTCTTCTTCCATGAAGCAGCTCTGTTGTCCTCCATCCATATTTTCAGTTACAGGCTGAGTCATTTCTACCTTCTCCTCTCTGTCAACGCTCTCTGGTTTCATTTAAAAGAGTCGATCATCAGATATTGTCCAAGATTAACCTTCAGGGTGGATATAGTTCGCTCACCCCGAGGACCTATCCACGTCATCATTTACCCAGAATGCTTTGTGTGTAAATAAAATGGCTCCGTCTGTGTTAAAATATATTTAAAAAAACTATAAAAACTAAGCAGCCTACAGTATTTTTACAGTCTTTATTTTACAGTTAAATATATGTTTATCAAATAAAGTCTAATGTTACAACTAATCGTGGATCCCTTTAAAACGCCTCAAAAGAGCAGCTTTAACTTTCTGCAGACAGGCACTGAATGATTAACAGAGTGTGTGCTTGCCTCTTTTTTTTTTGAACTGGTAAATGTCACCATCACTCATCTCTGGGAATGAAACTACATTTAAAGATGCTGCATCTTTCAGACACAGTTATTAATCCACCTGTCACATCTGCAGCCGGTGGCTACTTTAGTGTGCTTCACATAGACACACCGTACTGATGTGAATTTGTTGCAGAGGTTATTTCTGTATTCTGAATTGATGCTTTTAAAATTTCTTCTATGCTGAAAGGTTAAATCTTAAAACCAGAGGAGATAATGTCTCTGAGTGTTTAACGATGACAAGAAAACAATTCTGTAGAACATTTTGATGTCAGCAGTTATAAATGTTAAAACCTTTCATTTCATATCAGTTTATTCTAAAAAAAAAAACATTGCTCACATTGTTTAAATATGCACATTTTGTACCCAGATACCACACAGTTGTGACTTACAGAGATGTAAGCTTCAGCTTCTGCGCTGTTGAATGCAACGTTTGCTGGTTTGTCTCTGTTGAAATAAGGAAAGAGTCGCTTGGACCAGAAGTTGGGGATGAAGTCTTTATACTGGAGTCCCCAATAGAGGCTGAACACTCTGTGCAGGTCCAAAGCCAGACATGTGCAGTTGTACACCAACACACCAAGCTCCTTCCTCTGCACAGCAAAAAGAAAACAGATAAACAACCTACTGTATATTCTAGGCTGAAAAATAACGTTTTATTATTCAATCACCTGTTTTGCACTCTTTTAACACATTTAAATGCTATTAACGAACCCAAACTTTGATTTATTTAATTAGTATAAATGGGGTTTTGTTGTATTTCTTCAAAATTGACAAAAACATTTGTATTCCTTCACAATTTCTGTTCAAGTATTTTCATTTCTGCATATGTTGTTTAGTATGACCGTTCTACATTACTGTGGCCAGAGATCTCCAGTCCATGCTGGCGCTGCCGATGTAGAAATGTTTCCGGTCGACCACCCAGAAGGACGAGCTGATGTTGCCTTTGATCAGTGCTGCCGTGTTCACCTTGTGAACCTCAGCATCTACAGATTGAAGGTAAGAGGAAGAAAAAAGAAAAAGAGAATTTAAATAAAGACATCTTTCAGGAAAAGACACAAATAAAAAAAGAGATCATAGAAGTGGCAAAGAGAAACATGCAACTAGAGGAAGACAGCACTGACATCAAAAATCAAGACAGAGAAACATTAAACAAGGAGACAAAAATTCAACAGCATGTTTCACTACAAGCAGACAGAAAGCATAAAACAGGAGAGCTGACAGTGATCTGTGAGGGCGTCCAGCTCAGTTGAGTTGATGTCCCCGCTGGAGATTTTCAGCTGGATTCCTTTTGCTTTCAGCCCCTTCAGCCTGGACAGCAGAGCCCCTCCCTGAGAGACACAGACCATCAAACCATAACATCAGGTACAGGCAGTACAGGCTAAGTTTGCCGTCCATTTAGGGGAAGCCGCAAATAGGGGATGAAAATATATATATATTATAACTTTTTATCAGAATATAGTTGATTTAGTCTGTAGAATAATCACTGGTTACTCAGGTTAATGAAGGTAACAAACTGGCTACAGGGCCTGTATTTATAGTCAAACATAATAGACTTTATTCTTTGAATGGACCTTATTTTTCTACAGTTGTGTTTTTGTGCAAGAGAGATTATGAGGTTGGAGTATAAGAAGCTACAACTTAACCTTTAATTGTGCTTTCCTTAATTTTCCAGTTACACTGACAGTCAGAGTAATGTGATATTGCTTTCTAAGCCAACCCAATTTAAGACCAGACATTTGTAACGCAGCAACTGAGTTATCAAAGCAACCCAGCAGGTTTTAGTGTGCAAAAAACAAGGTAAAAGTTGAGCATCTTTCCCAGTTTTCTCATTCTGACAAACAACCATATGATATAGGAGGCTTACAGTATAATATTACATTACAAAGAGACCTGATCCATGCCAGTATGCAGTATCACAAAAACAGTTTTTTTTCTATGATTTTATTTATATTAAATCTGAACTGTTCTGTAAAACTATGATGCGTCAGGTTGAAAGGCTATCAGCACTTTTTGGTATGAAGTTTCTGCTTCAGGTTTTCAGTCAGGCTGGCACTCTTCATTCTTAAAACAGAGTGTGTCTGTGTGTGTGTGCGCAACCTGACCCAACCCTCCAGGCAGCAGAAAATGACACATAAATTTAACATGATACCTTGCTGCAAATCTGAAAAACAATACGTTAAAACTTACTCCGGAAAGACAGGATTTCTAACGTGCTTTTGATTTTAGATTCACACACCGAATTCCCTTAAGTGTTGTAGATGAATAAATTTCTAAGTAAAACAACAACAATAACAAAAAGACAGACCAAAATTTTTGTCAAAATCACAGCTTTTGTTGATGTGAGTTCATGTTTTACCTGTCTGGCACCAGGCTGGAAGCTGGATTCATATCCGGAGGAATTGAGGAACCACTGTGGCGAAACAATCTCTACGACCCGCTCAGCTTTGTCCAGTAAATTGTTCAGTCCCACTGAGAGAGGTAGGCGGGGTGTGCTGTCGTCTAAGAAGGAAATATCTTCTGGAATGTTCTCCACAAGTACTATACTGTAAAAAATAATGAAAACAAAAGTGTCAATAATATACACAAGTTGAGTTGCACTGAGCACTTAGCAGTCACTAACTTACCTGCAGTCAAAATGATATCAGATTCAGAAAAAAAATTGTTAGGTGAGTGAAGTCAGCAGCTTATCTAAGAGCACGTCGCTGTTATCATAACTCATTTAAAGAACTGTCTGATGCAGAAGTGATGTAATATATTTATGATAAAACATTCACGTGACTGGCTATGAGAAGGTCTGAGCTGTTTCTGAAGGCACTAATTTGTTCATGATTGTCCTTCTTGATTTTGCTTTAAGTGTTGTCTGCTGCAGGTAAGATGCTGACTACTTATGTAACATCAAACAAATCTGAACTGCTCCTGTGACTTGTGAGTAGAAGTGTTGCCACAATTTGTTGTTTCTTCTTTTTCTATTGTGTTCCTTAAGGGTTTTTATGGTTCAAGTTTGCGCTTTGAAAGTTCTATATTTTGTTTGGCTTCATGTCATAATTTATTAAACTTGGTCATCTGATTTGTTTCCCATGTTTACTTCAGTAGCAAAACCATTTTCAAATCTTATACATGATATAAAGTAAGATGTTAAACTCAATTTATTGTGTTTTTGCAACCACTTAATGACTACTACACTATTTTTCCTTCTTATAACTGGATCATTATCACGATGAAAGAAATTAGATTTGGAATTTGCATGCATCATGGTGAAAAATCTTCTAACTTAATAAATAAAAATAATGGGGGCCCGGTCACCAGACTGGATTAGTAACCTATTCCTGCAGCCGCTCAGAATCGAGCCATTATGGAGCTCCAACACACCAAATCAAATCTTTAGCTGGCTCAGACTCTGATTTTCCTCAGCTGGCTCCTAAGAGAGAAATACAAAGAAGGGAGCAGCTGTTCAGTGTGGGTGAACAGCTTCACTGTAAATTCTGGTGCTGAACATCTGGAGAAAATGTTTTTCACAATAGCAGCACAACCCCCTGAGAGGACAGACTGAAGAAACTGTGAGTTATTTTCAATATTTTGCAGAGCGGTTTGGATCAGTCCTGCACTTTGTTTCTTATCACAGTATTTAAATCTAATTAACACAATGCAACGACAGATTGATTAATCTTGTTGGTGTACACATGGTTGGGTTGCCATCACTACTGAAGGGTTAATTTAGTTAATTACAGAATGATTTAGTTATTTACTGAATGATGTCTCACCGTGTCACAGGTTAAACAAACGCTAATCAGAGACTATTATGTTAGGTTGTTCTTACTAATTTATCACACACAGTGAAATTAGATTTGAGAGCCTGATCTCTTTTCCAGCTGTGGTCACACACAAACGCAGCCAAGACCTTGGAGTCACATTGTAACACTTTTTGTAGGTGTTAAACTGTGGATCAGAGGACTTAAATATTAGCACAGGACTGGCAAATTTTCACGTTGCTTTTCACACATTCATTGTAGATTTAAGCCACAAAGTGTTATGGTCTGTGTTTTTGCTTTCATTTTCTAGTGTTTCTCTGTTCTCCTGTGTATCTCTTCCCTGCTGTCTTGCCTCCAGCCCCGCCCACGCTCACCTGTTTCYTYTTGTGTCTCCCCAGGTGTTTCCCATTGTCCCTCATTAGTTCACCTTTATATTCTGTGTCCTGTCTTCAGTCTTTGTCGGATCATTATTTTATGTTCAGTCTTCCACGTCCCTGTAAGTACTGGAGAGTTTTTGAGCTGCCTTGCTAGCCTTTTTCTGTTAAATTAAAGCTATTTGTTACTTTTTGAACCTCGCCTGCGTCCTGGGTTTTTCCTGCTCTGATTCTGTCACCAAGCTTCAAAGCAAATGATTTGTTCACCTTACACACACATCAAGGTCTTGTCCACACAGAAAGGCAGTTTTTCCAAACTTATCTTTGTATTTGGCATTCTTAAACCTGTGCGCATAAATGAGGCATGCTTTCTAGAAATGTCTTTATCCACACGGATAAAGCAGCTATACCAAGCCTATATGAGGCACCAAAAATGTCACTAATACATTTTCATTATTTAATTCACTTCCTGGGTGTAAAATCCTAGTTAAAAAATTTCCACTAATAGTTTGTTGATATTCTATTGATACATTTAGCTAATTTTTTTTACTAAATGTTCAATTTAAATGTTAAATAATATACTGTACTAAATCCGAATGTGCAAATCTATATGTAAAAGTTCAGTTTTAAATGTTGTGGTTGTATGGTGAAGTTTACATTTAAGTATTTCATCCTTTGCTGTTGGTGCTCAGCTCTTGTGATGTCATCATCCTGCGACAAAATCAACCGCTAACACTGATGAAGATGGCTTTTTAAATTTAAATTCAAAACATGTTAATTGAAAACATAATGCATGACAGTTTGAAGTGCAGTTTGGACACTTGCCGCAACTACAAGATTGATGTTTTGTAAGGAAGTGTTAGCAGCGTTAGCAGCGTTAGCAGTGGTTAGTGGTTGGCCTTAATTGTCTCAGGATGACGTCGAGCCCCAACAGTAAACGCTGCAATCCATTCTGAAATACTTAAATCCTAAACTTCATCATTTAACCACAATACTTAATATTTGTCATGGTCTGTGTATATATGCTTTGGTTTTTCTAAGTGTTTCAGTGTTCCCGTGTTCTCTGCCCAGCTGAGCCCACGCTCACCTGTTTCTCCTTGTCTCTCCTCCAGGTGTTTCTCATTTGTCCTCATTAGTTTGCCTTTATATTCTGTGTTCTGTGTTCAGTCTGCATCCGATCATTGTGCTGTGTCGTCCACCCTGTTTGTTCATGCCCTCAAGTTTTTGCCACGCAAACTTTTGTAAGTCTTTTGAGCTGCCTCGTCAGCATTTTTTGATTTAACAAAAACTTTATTTTTCTGCACCCGAACTCTGCCTGTGCCCTGGGTCATTCTGCCTGCAACCTGACAAGACTTAACTTTCACATTTAAATTTACACATTTAGATTTAGAATTCAACATTCACATGCAGGGTATTATTTAACATCTAAATCAGCCTAAAAGTCACACCAGTCTGAGCGTGATCATGCTTGGCTCAAGGGCGTAATGGTCAGAGCCCGTGTTGTTGTAGGTGATATATCGTGGTTACATCACACTGAGAGGCCAGTTGCCAGCTCTCGACTCGAAAATGTATTCCTGGCTAAAACAGAAGCGCAGTCAGTCTTTGGAAAGTGGCCAGGGTTCAAACTATCGGGTTCACACTCTGTGTTATCACACCATTATAACGTTTCCTGGTGTAAACTGCAGTGAAGCACATTCAGTGAAGGAGAGTTTGGAGGTAAAGCTGACTGATATGGTTGCTGAGGCTTCAATGGTTACACTCTTCGTGTAAATGAAAAGACACAGAGAATCAAATATAATTTACTAGAACTTTAAATTCACGTCATGTTGCAGTATTTTGTTCTGAAAAGACAAATAAAAAAGGGTGCTTACATCATCCCACAATGAGAGGGGGAAAACATTTAAGGGAAGTCTGAGACAAAAAAAATCCCAGTCTCTAATGGTTCAGATATGATGAATAGTGATTTTTACCAGATAAAGCAGCCAGACAGGTCTCGCTATTCAAATTAGGGAAAGCGGGGAGGCAGCGGTTGTTTATTCCTGCTGAAGATTCATTGATTTATGCAGCCTGTGTTGTTCATGGCTGGTTCTTTCCTTTGTAACCCATCTGTGCAGCGCTGGGCTCCATTCAGCCCCAGCAGCCAATAAAGCAGATGTGTAAACTTCATGCTGTATTTGTATGCAGACACAGAACAGTCAAACAGAAGGAGAGGGAGAGGGGATTTAGAATCCCTTCTCAACGAGAATAGATGCTGTGGTATATGAGTAAAGTTGCATCACTTTGATTTATTGTTAAAGTGGCAAATAAAAACATTTTCCACCACACCATATAGCAATCAAGGCTTATTAAACACACAACAAGAAGCCTTAAAATCCCCACAGCATAAGACATGCGCATGCTCATGATGCCTGCCAGCTGAAGCCCACTTAGAGTAACATCATGGGATCATGTTGAAAATCACATTATGTCTGAGTCAACTCCTGGCATCAGATACAAATTATCCAGCCTCTCATGAGCTGCCCAGAGCTGCCAACGTGGAGCTGAGGAGACGAGCTTCACAGCTGCTTCTACTGTTTTCCAAGCATGCTTTCTGATCAGTTTTATCTCTGAGCAAAAAGCTGTTGTCTCGGCAAAAAATAGCAAAAAACAAAATGTGATTTTATTTAAAAATGTCTCTTTGTGTTTGACACAAAGGCATTGGACAGCTAGTGATTATTTGTCTATGTTGTTTCAATTTGATACCGGCTGAAGTTTTATCACAATACATTTCCAACACAATTTCTTTTTTTTTTTTTTTTGTTTACCAATTTAAAAACATTAAATTGATGTATAAACAGGGGATATAATACAAATCTCTGGGGGCATCATGTGTCACAGTCTTATTGATCAATCTTGATTTTATCATTCTGTAGACACATAAATCAATAATGTCAACAAAGATTTTCCCCCTTTATTTATCTGGCACACAGGTTCTGCTGTTGTTGAGAGGCAAATAGCAGCAACCTCTAAAGGCAAAACAGATTAAAGGGGAGGGTGGGTATACGCAAAATCAACTTTTTTGAGCTTTATATCATGTTATAATCTAATTCCCTCATCAAAAACATACACAGAGTGTTGCTTTGACTCATTCATGCATGTTTGAGAAATCTTGAATCTCCTGTATGTGGAGCTGCCTAAATCCTTGCTGGTACAAAGCACCACCTATTTACACAAAGCTCCTCCCGCCCCACAGAGCATTGTTGTGAAGACGTGCTGAAGCGCGAGTGTCAGAAATGGTAGGAGCTTCTTAAAGAGACAGAGGCCAATTTCAATGTGATTAGATGCTTTGATGCAAATTTTTTTATTATTTTTGATATATACAGTATTTTTATAACAACTGAAGTAGCTGTTTGGTTGTGGTGTACAATTGAACCATGTAGCTGGAAAAAACACCCCCCCCCCCCCCAACTCACCCTAAAAGGAAAATCTGCATTAAAAAAAGTAGTTGACACGAACAGAACATCACACAGACTGCTGATTCGCTACTTTTGAGTCTTAAAAAGCCTTTTTTAATTGTGAAAGTGCATTAGTGGCTATAAAGCAAGGCGGTACGGTCTGCTGAATTCAGATTATTCGGAGGAAATTAAGTTAATCACAGTAAGTTGCAGAGTGTATGCTCAGAACTGCAACAAAAAAGGGTTTTGCATTTACTTTAACAAAGTACAAGACGTACCTTCGTGGACTAAAAGAGTGAGAACGAGTTTCCCTGCAGCTCCATTATAAATGTCATTCTCATAACAACCCATCACTTTTTTTTTTACTTTGCAGCAAGAATCTTTTGAACCAAAAGCTTTATAGAGACTCATCAGCTGCACACCTCATATTGCTTTTTATTGATGTGTTTTTGCGTATTTCACCCATAACTTCAGAAATAATAGTGCACAAAATAAAATCTTAGGTCTGTAAAAACTTGTTAAGAGCGTTCTTGAACGGACAAGACCCCCATCATCCCTGACAAGGAGCCAATAACAGCTTATGAATCTATTCATCATCTTTATCCCCCTTCCACCTGCTTCACCCTTCCACAGCCTCATCTTTATTATACCCCCCAGCTTCAGGAGTCCTCCAGAGGACAAGAGGGAGTTCATTCAGCTCAGAAAGTCAGAATTTCTCTTTCAGTCTGAAGAGGACGAGAAGATTTCCCGGTAGACTTTTCTGAAAAGACATAATTGGCTGATTTGAGGGAGAAGAGGGAGAAACTAGATGGACACAGACGTACAGACATGGAGAGGGAGGGAAGAGTAATCCAAGGCTGAATGTTGAATTGGATGATAAGGGTCTATTGGTGGGGAACCAGCAGGAAGTGTGGAGAAGGAGAAAAAAAACTTGCTTTATCAGCTCAACACCTGCTGATTAGCTGCTTTCACCCTAGACCACCAGGATGTACTGCAGAGGTTTTTAAACTCTTCATCTCAGGATTCATGCTTTTAAATTTTGCATAGGCTGTAGAATTTTGCCATGTTTTGTAATCGCTACAGACCTGCAGAGGAGGAAATGACACATTAAAGGGATCCCTGAGTTGTAACATTAGATTTTATTTGATAAACATATATTTTAACTGTAAAATAAAGACTGTAAAACTACTGTAGGCTGTTTAGTTTTGTACTTTTAAAAATATATATTTTAACACGGACGGAGCCATTTTAT